AAATGGGTACTTCTTTTCTATGTGTTAAGGCAAAGAATGCGCCTGACGCTTGGGCGTGCTCAGTCCCCAGATGTTTCAAAGTCTTTTTTTTTTTCCTTGTTGCTAATTCTAAATGTTCTTAATGTTGCCAGTGAAATCCTTCATTTACCTAAATTAGACTTGCCTTGCATTTAATTGGATTATTAGCATTGACACTGACTGCAGTTGATAAAGCAGTAATTCACATTTGGGGAAAGCTTCCTCTGTCTGACAGCTGAGGGTGAGGTAAAACTTCCTCGCTGAAGCCAACTTTAGCTTTGAGGGGGCAGGTTTTGTCATAGGAACATTGCCAAAGATCTGTGTTTGTAACAGCTCTCGGGAAATACTTTACGCTGACTAAAAATACCCATCAGTAAACTTCACTGGGGGTGAGCACTGAAAATTCACTGGTTTAGGGTCGAGCCTATTGTAAGTTCAGACAGAAAAAGCAGCCAAGTGAACCTGCTTGCTTGTTGAGGCTGAGGGTCGGCACATTCTCTGTTGCAGTTGAGCAATAACACTTCATATTTTTTGGCAGCAATGTAATTTTGTATTCAGATCATATTTGGTGCGGTTACCCAGCAGTTAAAGGTACCAGAAATTATTTGCTAGAGAGATATCGGTGTTATGGCTTCATGCGTGTATGTAAAATGGATAGACTCCCCTGACATTGGAGGACTACACAGTTTTGGGTTGATGACTTTTAAAAGGGAAAAAAAAAAACTTGTAAGCATTGTCAGCCCTGGAGTAAACTGGGGAAGATGGGCAGATCTGTGTAAGTGCCTGGTGTCACACAGGTAAATCACGTAACGAAGAGCGGGCAGGCGCTGACTGTGGGTTCTGTATTTCAGGTCCCTACTGATCATCTCCTCCCATCAGTTTGCAGCCACTGGCTCCAGTGCATCCTTGGATCTGCAAGCAACGGGGCTCCTGGAGGTGAGGAGCTGTCCTGCGACGCCACCAAACTCCTGGGGCTCCAAGAAATCCTAGGTACCACAATTTGTGGAGGGGCAGACACAGTTGCTGGGTTCCTCCTCCTGTTTTACCAACGTATTTTGTGTGTTAAAGCACCCACTGAGCTGTGAAGCGCCCAAGAAGGGGCCCTGTTGTGTGTGGGTGCATACAGTGTTGGTATAGGACGGTGTGCAGGTGTCCGTGCCCTCTCATATTGTATCATACCCAAATTGTGCAGAACAGGCCCCTGTCAGTGCCAAAAAGCTGGGAGCAGTTGTATTCAGCACAGAGGGGAAACTCCCAAATTCAGGGGCTTTGCTGCAGTTTGGCGGTGATTTATAATTCAAAGGCAGGAGTCAGAAGTAACCTCGCACAATACCTGTGCGTTTCCAACCTTGAGGACTGTAGGTAAATCCTTAATCCCTTCAAAATTATTTATTTGCTACTGTTTAGCGATAAACTTTTACACCAGAATGCTTAGTGGTGTTAAATCAGAAAGCTCATTACCTCCTTTCAGCTGCGTTAATAACAGTAATCTCTTTAATGGAAGCAACTTCCTCGGACAGGATTTACCTTCCCCAAAAAACCACCTTAATTGGTGTTAAATACCCTCCTGCCCTTTAATTCCTCCCCAATTAATGGAGAGCTGATAAGGAGTTGTGGCTGGAGCAGGTGTGGGGTCAGCACTTGCAGTGTGAGCAGAGGGTGAAGGCTCCTCCTGACTCCTCCTCTGCCTTCCCGGTGTTGGGAGCGTAGGGAAGCTTCTCCAAGATGTAAATCTGTGCAGGATGCTACTTCATGTGTCTCTTGGGCTGTTGAGGGAGCACAGACGTGTTGGTTTGTGTTCTGCCAGCCCAGGGTGGACGTATCAGCGAGTATTTAATACTTTTTGCTTCAGTAATATTCGGTTTAATCTCTGTTCCTTACCAGAGAGCTGATCGTGTTTCTCAGGCTTCTTTTCTTGGTTAACAGCTGAACAGCAGCACCAACAACAACAGAGTATGCAGCTTATCATTAAATTTTCCTCTCAAAGATTTTCCTTTCATCTCCAGGTTCCCTCACAGTTTCCTACATTTCATATTTTCTAACGCATGTTCATTTTGTCGTACGTATCTCCTTTTTTTCCCCCCATTATCATACACTGTCATTTTAATTGCTGCTTTTGTTTCTGCATTTTGTTGAAGGAGTTTCCAGCCAGGCTTGGCTTGTCTGCCTGCAACATCCCCGAGCAAAACTCTGAGGAAGCCAAAAGCCTCAAATGCACCAACATTGCACGTTTTCCTCCTCTCTGTGCTCTTTGCTGTGTGACTACAAACTGTGAGTGTGGGGGCAATGGTGGAGACATCAGAAATACTTTGCAGAGCCTCTGGATTTTACTCCTCGCAGCAGTGGAGATTTTTCTGGGGGGATAATGTGGCTCCCCTGTTGTTATCCAGCATTGCTGATAACGCTGCCTCCAACTGCCACAGTGCTCCTGCTGCCCTGCCGAAAAGTTTGGGAAAGCTTTGAAGGGAGCTGGATAAAATAGAATGACACTTTCCAGCTGACAGCTTTTGATAAGGCAGTTCAAAGGCTGCTCCTCACTTGTTTTGTTTCCCCCATGAAGTTTCTGCCTTGCTGTGTGCTGCTTCATTTTATGAAGCCCACAGAGTGGTTTGTTCTGGGGGAAAAGCCTGAGGAGCAGCTTGGGCAAGAAATTGGGACTGTCCTCCCTGCCTCTTGTCCTTCTTATGTTTGATAATCAGTTCTGGGTGTTGCAAATGGTTGGTTGTATTGCTCTGCACGTGGGAGAGGGGTTCGGAGGAGGGAATCCCTCTGGGTGCGTGCCAACAGCCAGGATAACACGGGAACACAAAAGGGGACACAAAACCGCCCGGAACCCTGCGGTTTTGGCAAGGGAACGGTGAAGCGAAGGCTTTGTGTGTGCTCAGACGGGTCAGGCAGCCCCCAGCACCTGTCCCAGCTCCCCCTGCCGCGCTGCCCCTCTCTATATTTACCCAGGGGGAGCTTTCCAAGAATGGAAGTGGTAAGATAAAACCCCTGAGGGGCTAAAATTAGCCCCTGCGCCTGGGCCCTTCTCCCCGCCGTGGCATTTCAGCTGTGAGCGTGACAGCCTGCGTAGTTCCAGCCACACAGAGGGGACATCCATCCTGACACAGCGAGATCCTCTCTTTCTCTCCTTTTTTCTGTTTAAATGGAGGGAGAACTCACCGTGGGACCTCTGCTGCCCTGTCCACCCCAGCTGTGAGCATCACCTACCCCAGTAAGGTAAGGCAGCAGCATCGGGCATCAGAAAATTGAAGATAACCTGGTAACCAGTTATAAAGGCGCGAGTGGTATTCACTGGCACCTTTAGCTCCATCATAACCTCTTTTCTTTGGGCTCTGCAGATGCGTGGACAGCTTCCTTCAGCTGAATTGGTGACAGCTCTGCTTTGGGCTTTTAGGGTTGAGGAATGTCCATGAGCTCCCCAGGTGAGTGCTGACACTGTCAAAGTAAGGTCCCTTTGGAGACGCTTTTTGGGGGTTCAGGAAACGTTACAGCTGGTGTTTTACTTTTCCAGACCATTTCCCTTGGGAATATAACTGGGACTTCTTCTTGAATCAAATTGGCAATAACCCCCCATTAGCCATGTAGGTATGGGGTTTCCAAAGCTCCACAGCTCATTATCAGCCTGTCTAATGAATAACAGTAATAACAGATACTTCTATATGAATTGTCTGGGTTAGTGCAACAGGTGGAAGCACAGCAGAGCTTTGCTGTCGCTCGCTGCCATCAAACTTGCTCTGCTTAACCAAGCTGCGACAGTGGCCACACGTGGGGGGTTCCCCCGAGCCCACACGTCTCGGCACCGCAGGCGGATGTGGGACGAGCCTCCTGCGGCCGCCTCATTTGTTACCGCCACGCTCGTTTGCAAAAGGAGGTTAATTGCTCGGTGCAGCTCCTTGCCTCCTCCAAGGCAAGATCAGAGAGGAGATGGAGCGCTACTGCCTGTCCCCAAGGAAATCTGAGATGCTGTGGTGGGAAGGAACCGAGGAATTCCTCTGCCCTCCCCAGCTGCGCTGGTGCCACCCGGACATCGCATTCCTCTGTGCTGCTGCGAGGCCGGGTCCTGCACCGAGCGCCCAGCACACGCGTGGGGTTTGGTCCCGCTCCAGTGTGATCAGCTCAGCATCCTTCACCTCCCCATAGCTCCCGCTATCAAAATCCCAGATGAAAGTCCTTAATCAAACCAGCCCCCTTCCCATTCACTTCACCTTCTGTTGTGAAATCAAATCCCTTTAAAAAAGCAACAGACTGCAAAAACCTTAAATCTCCGAAATGAAAACTCCTCCAAGTTTTCCATGGGTCCCAAAATCCTTGGAAGTGCGGGTGCTGCTGGGGCATCCCATAGAAGCCTTGGCCGATAGGAAGCAGAGTTGATTCCTGCTATTTCCAACATGCCCTTCCCTCAGCAGCTCCCACAGAAAAGAGCCGGATGGGGTGAATGCTGAGGGGTTTGGGAAAACGGGCGGCTTCATCCCCCTGTGGGGTGCAGAGCCCTTGCAAGAGCCCATGGCCACCCAGGAGCCTTCCTGAGCTCAGGGTCTGAGTGTCCCATGAGTAGTCCTGTGCCCTTGGCTGCCTCAGGGGCCAGCAGTGCAGCATTAAATAATGATAATAATTTAAAAAGTAAAAGCCTGTGAGCTCCCCCACGCAGTGTTTGAACTCCACATGAGATCTGGTTCTCTCAACGTGTTCTTGGTTACAACATTTTAAAGGGAGGTGGCCCACGTACATGCTGCAGCAATGACCTCTCTTTGCCTTAGCCCTTCACCAGTGTGGATCTGCTCACCCGTGATGGCAGGGATGTATGTGTCAGAAGCATCATCATCCAATGTTATTTGTCTCTCTTTTTAGAGAATCTTTCTTAAATTGTGTATGTAAAAATAATAATAAAGAGCTGGTGTCAAGTGGCTGGTTCTAACCCAGTGGTGGTTTTTTGTCCCGTAGATCTTTGACTTTACCATTTACGATGAAAGCGGTACATGGGAGACACACCAAAAAAAATGAGCCTCATGGATATCACTAAAATGTTCTCTATGCTCCAGCCCGGAGAAGATGAAGACGACAACGGAGAAAGCGGGGAGCTGAACCGAGCGGTGTCCAAGGACGATTACCAAACCCTGGACAACCTCTTGTCCCAGGACAGGTACAGGAGGTTCATCAACAGCAGGAGTGGTTGGGGGGTACCCAGCACCCCGCTGCGCCTGGCAGCCGCCAAGGGCCACATCAGGAGCATGAAGGTCCTCTTGGCGCATGGGGCAGAGGTGGACAGCCTGGACGTGAAGGCTCAGACCCCGCTCTTCATGGCGGTCAGCAACGGCCACCGGGAATGCGTGAGGGTCCTCCTGAACGCGGGGGCCAGTCCTGCCGGCAGCATCTACAACAACTGCTCGCCGCTGCTTATCGCCGCCAGGGATGGGGACGTGGACATCCTGCGGCAGCTCCTGGACCACGGCGCCGAGACTAACGTTCAGGCGAGGCTGCCCGAGTGGGCAACCAACTCGGTGGCTTGTTCTGGTCCCCTCTACCTCGCTGCCGTGTACGGGCACCTGGAGTGCTTCAAGCTGCTGTTGCTTTACGGCGCTGATCCCGACTATAACTGCACTGAGGAGAGGGTGATTGCCCGGATCAAGGAGCCCAAGACTGTGCTGGAAACCTGCCTGGGGCACGGCTGCAGGAGAGAGTTCATCGAGCTGCTCATTGACTTTGGAGCCAACGTCTACTTGCCCAACATCATGGTAGATCAGATGGCACCCCACAGCGAGGGCCTGGAGCTGCTGCTGCAGGCGAGAGGTAATATGTGTGCGCGGCCCCAGGGCTGGAAACGAGCACTAATATTGCTCATTTGGGTGCAAGTTGCTCCAGATTCCCCTTTCCTTTACCTCTGCTTCCCAACAGCCTTACCCAGGCTTTCCTGCAAGCTTTGAATCCCTTTGCAGCATCGCTTGAGTGCATGGGTCTCTCTGGTGTTAAATTTGAGTATTATCGCTGTTTTACCCTGAACTCTTATTCCTTCCTCTCGTCCAATTATTGCTGTGTTCAGGCCAAAAAAAAACATCTCCAACACTGACCAGAGCAAGAGAAGGACATCACAAGGTTATCAAGGATAGGTTCACCACCACCGATTGAATGTGATGGCTTGGATACACGTGCTATCACAGGAAACTCCTAAAACAAATTGGTGGGATCTGGGGGAGTGTCACAGAAGGGCTTGTTTCTAATAAACACCCACTAAATATCCCAAATTCCCACTGGAGGCAGGCTGCCTGCCGTTGGGTCTGGTTTGTAACTTGCCGTGGGCACTGCGGGGAGCAGGGCTGTGTCTTGAAGGTGACCATCTCCTTTCTCCTCACAGCTCATCCCAAGTCCTTGCTGTCCCAGTCCAGACTGGCGATGCGACACCTCCTGAAGCAGGCTGGCCACCCGCACGCCCTGGGTGAGCTGGAGATCCCCACGGTCCTGGCGAACTACCTCCGCCATCAGCCACAGAGCGCAGCCCGCGAGAGGTGCCTGCCTCCAGCACCTGCAGGAAAGCCGCTCTGACAGCCGTGCAGCATGAAACTGCCACGAATTTGTGGTTGCAGAGTAATTTTTGCTTACCAGATGTCTCCAAAAAGTGGTGCCTGTGTGAAAAGTTGGCAAGGGGTGGGGAGAAAGAGAGGAGACCTCGGGTCCTGCTTCATGTTAGAGTAACAGGGTCTGATTTGGCTGGGTTTGGCTTTAAACCCTCTTCACCTGAAGGATTTTACACCATAATTTATGCTGGTCGGAGAAGGGGCTGGGATGATGGGGCAGGGTTGTTGTTTTTTTTAATCAAATATGTTGCTGCTGTTCTTATTAAACTATCGTTT